TTGAGAGAGAGAGACAGAGAGGGAGAGAGAAAGAAGCTCGCCCCTGCACAGATATGGTGACGCCGCACCACCTCGCACCTGTACAGTGCTTGCATACTTGCCCTGCACCGCACTTTCTACTAATAACGCTAACCAGCACATGTGCATATCCCTAGCACTACGCACGCTCGCTAAGCTCACTAACACCCGTTGATAATGTCACGCGGTCATCTTCTGTAAGCTTCTACACCCAGGCAGAGATGGCAGGGTCGGGCGACGGGGGGAGGAGACGGGGGAGGGGTGGGTTAGACGTGGGTGAACACTATCTGTGTTTAATCCAAGACGCTTGCACTGCACCGACGGTAGATGTCGCGTGCTATGCATAGCTGCTAGGGTTAGGGTTAGGGTTAGGAAAATAAGGCCACGTCTAGCATGGAAGTATGACTGTGGAATGACGGAAGTGTACGAAGTGACTAGTGCTGCCACGTAGCGGCACCCTCCCTCTACGCCCGGGGAAAGTGACTAGTGCTGCCACGTAGCGGCACCCTCCCTCTACGCCCGGGGAAAGTGACACCCGTGAACTTTCCCGTGATTTCATTGCTGCACGTCTGTCACGCTTCGAATGTATAGTCAGACATGTGACATTGCGAAGTCACATGCATGCTGTGACGTCACATGACAGCATGCGTGCTACACAAAGCAGGACAATGAGTATCCGGCCAAAAGCTAAATGCATGTTTATTCGGTCTTCACTGGTCACGCATATTCGCTATTCTGTTTTGTTTATGCAAGGCTACTTGCGCATGGGCATGTGTACTGCAAGAGCCTATTATATATAAATAAATAAAATAATTAATTAATTAATAATTATAATATATATATATTATACAAAGATCATCGCAACATGCTCACACGCGTTATTATATTAAATGGAGGTAAATTTAAGGTACCTATCAATCCATCTAACGAAATAAATATGTACACTACATTTTCCTCGAAGTTGTCCACGTGTATTATATCAAAAATAGCGTATATGATTGTTTGCGATAGTTATTACGTACTAAATCGCTCTCTCTTTTCATCACTGCGGCAGGCGAGTGGATGTATTTTAGATATTTCCGCCGGTGGCTAAAAAAGTTTTTCCATGATCACGCCGCCTGCTCCGTATTCAGCGGGGTAAGTGGCGCCATCTGTCGCGTGGTCTGTCGTAATGACTGTCATATCATAAGATCTGTGTGCACATGTCCAGTAGGCCTACCTGCTAAGAAAATATTATATTGCTAGAATTGTGCATTTAAAGAAGAGAGCAGATATCCTGAAGTAATTTGATATCAAATGGTATATTCCTCTGTATCTTTTCATTCATTACAAAGCGTCAAATCTTCTCATCAAACCGGTCCCACTCAACGCTAGGTAAAATTAATAGAACACATTTCACTGGCGTTGGTTGGCGCTAGTGAGTAAAAATGTCCTCGCCGTGGTTGGATCACGCATAAAAGAAAATCTATGATGCCAAACGCAAAAAAATCTATGCTGTAATTTTGCTGTTATTACACGCATGTAGAGACCGCCGACTCAGCAGTTGTTCGATTTGATGAAGTGTGTATTCCAATGCCTAACTTTATTATTGATAAGGCCACAAATCTTCACAGCCTTCTTAAAACAGCCGATAGATTAGCTCTATCTAGCGATAGATATCTCCTAAAAGAGATTGCGTTTTTTACGTCTTTTACGGTTTTATGCTTATAAGTATATATTTAACATAGAGGGACCATAGTCAGGGGTAGTTTGATATGGAAAATTGGAATGCCATCGCCTCTCTTAAATTATGAGAAGGAGCTCCTCCTCCTTCAGAGAATTCTCAACATCCCGATTCGCCATAAGTCCATAACACCAAGTTAAACTAAATACACTTTTCTTCGCCGTTTGATGGCGCTGTTGTCGCGCATAAGACGTAATGCATATTGCCCCACGTAAAATATACATCTAGAACTCTGGTGAAATTATACGCCTGTAGAGAACACATACTCAGTAGTTGTTTGGCGTGCAAACATGTCTATTCCAATGCCCCACCTTATTCATTATAGAATGCAAATCTTCTCGCCCTCTTTAAAACATGATAGGTTAGAAGCTCAGATGTGCCCGAGGACATGTCTACTTTCTGCTAAAAGAAATAACGATGGGTGGAAAACATACAGCTAACGTAGAGAGTGGGGTTAGTTTGCCTCACTTATCGATCGTAATGCCTCACTTTAATAAGCATATATTACATTCTGATTTCCTGACATACCTTTAACATACTTCCCGATATCTTATAAGGTCGAGGGTCTGTGCGCGCATGCATAGCATTAGATCCTATAATTAGTATGGCTACTTTAATAATTATAGGGCCGTTTGTAGCTTTTTATGAACAGCACCTTGTACTCTCGGTAAATCTATTATGCTGTAAGGGTGGTTTTGTAAGTTTGTGTGTTTGGTAAGTAAGGGCTGTAAGTAATCGTCGCGACATTTTTAATCACCCAACTACTATTTCTAACATCTGCAGACCACACTCACAATGCTTATAGCAGCATAAATTACCACGCCATATATTTATTTTTTCGCGTTCGAAATTTAGCGCTTCTCAATTCACTGTTGATGATGTAAATATGTATATGTACCTCATGTCTTCATTGCTATATTATGCTTACCATTGCTGTTGCAGAACTGCGGCCAGTCTCTATCGTTTGCAGACACGGCTTTCATGCTCTATCAGCAGACGGTGAAAAACCGACGTAAGCGAGGTGGCGCCACTGCTGATTGTTTGAGCTGTAAACCGAAGCTAGAGCGCGCCAGCGTGCACATACAATACCTGGAGGCTGAGCTGAAGCGATTGTGAGCATGGCTGATCATGAGAGTGTCTGCTTTATATTAGAATACTAGTATTTATTTTTAGAATTTCCTTGATTATAGGAATAATGTTATCGAAAGTGGAAAAAAACTATTGATTTTTATATACCCCTGATGTTATATATATAGGGAGTCTTTGGGCATATAAGAGTCACTTGGGCATTGGGATTGGATTAGACACTATAACGTAGCCCTGGACAAGCAGGAACATTGTCAGTAAGGGATACGTTATCCTATCCAACATTTGGTGAGACCCACTCGGGCAGGTTGGCCAATCAACAGATTTGCTTAAGCCCGGAGTATTTGCGATATCAAAATCTTGTCGGTGTTTAAAGTCGGATCAATTATCTGGAAATCCCTGAACATCTTACGGAATTGAGGATCGATAGTATAATGTAAGAGGTACGCCAAACACTGTAAACGTTGCTACCTTCCTATACCCACGCGCAGGCTTTATAAACTGTCATATTATAATCATAACTGCGGTAAATGTATGTCTGATCATATTCATCCTAAAATCGCTCGTTACACTTGTGTGTCAAATTAAATTGAAATCATTAATTATGTACGAATAGTATTTAGTTCGCATTAGCGAATTTTTTTCAATTTAAATGTTTGTAACGTTCATCAGCTAATTTCGGTCCTTGAAGTAGCATAGAAATTCATTTTAATCGCAACAATAACATTGATAAAATTAGAGGTGGTGCCGAGATATTATAGCTAGACTAAAATTACTGCTGTTTGCATAATTAGGACTGGCGTGGAGACAGAGCAGCCTACGACTACCGCAGGGACCGGTCACCTGGTAAGACCGCTAAAGGTGGTACCCTCACCGGAACCCAGTGACCACCCCGACAACCACACCCCTCCGCAGGTGGTGGACGCGTCACCCGCCACCATCCACACCCTTCCACACGTAATGAACGGGACCCCCACCACTCCTACCCCTGCTGGTGAAGGTGGCGGGTCCGCGGGCCCGCCGCAGGCCCCTCCACACGTCTTGAACGGACTGTCACGTCCGAGGATTAATGACGACGACACAAGAGCCACGACGGAGACGCGGCTATAGCCGTTCTGAGAGACCATCGAGGACGCTTCTATACTAACGTGATAATCGTTTGTTCGCCCCTATCTTTTATTCTCTCCCGCGCGCGCTTCCTCTCTCTTTTTTCGCTCTGTCGCGCGCGCTTCCTCTCTCTCTCCCTCTTGTCTCTCGCTCGCTCACTCCTCTCCCTATCTCACTGATGCACTACTCCCCATTCCCTTTCTCGCAACTGCCCCTCATTTCTCTCCCGTCTCGTTCTCTATCTCTCCCCCCCTTCTCTCTCTAACGCAAGCGCTCTCTTAATCTTTCACTCCCATCTCTTCATCTCTCTCACCCATTCTCTCCATTCCCAAATATATCTGCGTATACCTGTATAGACAGAAAGCTGACACAGTAGCGACACACGCGATGATCGCGTGACACGCGTAACGTGCGTGTATCTTCCATATAATATCTACATATAATACGTCAGTGTTGTGACTTTCTAGTCAGCATAAATATAATGGTACACATAAAGGGTTTATGTGCTGTTGATCTGTTTCGCTGCAACAGATGTAACTCTGTAGCAGAACAACAGAATGTAACTGTCACTCTGTAGATTAGACGAAGCAATGCGGCAAAGGCCATGTAGTTATTGCATTTATTCGCAACGCGATTTATACTGTTGCTGTTACTGATGCCATGGCAGGGTAAGCCTACTGGCACACGAAGAATTGTCCGTGAATATAACTTATAACCTTGACACCACCGCACAATCTCACGTCGTGTTGTTGCATGTTATATTTTCGTGTAAAACTTGCAATTGTAGTTTTTTGTAACGCTGTGTTGTTGCTAGTGTAATGTATCGGCATCTACAGTTCATGCGCATGCGCGCCGAGTAACTAAACGCGTCTGCCAAAATAAAACTCTTGCAACTCTCATAAATCACAGCACGTTCCTTATTATGACAACGAAGCCCTTTCACTCCCGACATTTGCCGAACATCCACGCGTTTTGTAAAGTTGTTTTATTACCTATTTCTACTAAAAATCTCGTGGCCTTTTCACTCGGGTATGTTGCTTGAGCTAGGATATTCGTAAAGTTCGGGGAGGGGCGTAATCGGAGTACGAGGTGCAAGTAAAGGGAGTAACTTAATACTCACCGTAAATCATATGACACTTCATAAGAGAACTCATCAAATTAGAGTAACTTTTCATTATTTACAAGAAAACATCATACACTGTTCCAGCATTTAAACACAGACAAATGGATTTACCTGATCTTTATCGATTGTCGCAACAATGGACCGCAGCCCACGAGTGCATGCTTAGCTGTTATTTCCTCAGAACTTCAGAAATGAAATAGGTGAATATACGGGTATTCATTATTGTCATTGAAATACGGTCAACTGTTAGCAAAATTATCATCCGCGTCTTATCGCTAGAACACCAGTTTCCGCTTTTTCGAGTGTCTATACGCAAGAACATGTGCTAATATGACTGGTGTCTTTAATCTAACTCCATCCTTCCACTTTAGTGCTTGCAAGGTAGAATCATCTAATAACTACGATATATTTTAGATATTTATGCAAGTGTCAAAAATATAAGGACATTTAAGTACTTTATCAAGAGCATTCTTTTAAAATCTCAAACTAAAGTATTCACAAATGTTAACGCAGCTTTTCCATAATACATATTAACGTATGGTAATGATTTGGGTATTACTGATGTTGTCTTCGTTTATACGTAACGATAACCAAGCCAGAAAAGACTTGCAGTATTATTAACTAACACAGAAACTTGTTACAACAGAGGAACGACTGAAGAATGGATAATGCGTCTCGTAATGAATACACGCAGACATACACGCAGAAGTACATGAACTTATACAGTTAACAAAATATCTGAACATGACGCCCACCCGTTCATTGTTGGGAGGCGGCCATCATTTGACCTTCACCGCGTCCTACACGGTGTCATTACTCGTATTTGACCTTTTCCAGTAATACAGTTACGTTACTAGTAGGTATTCATAGTCCTTCATGCGTCCTAATCAGTTTTTCCCCACTATTTGCCCTTCTCCTCCACACTCACAACATTGTTACTGGTATTTGACTTTTGCCACACGTTTCATAGTATCAAAACTGATGTATTATTTTCGCGGTGTGCTTTGCAGCATTGTTACTGAGAACATGATCTCTGTCCCACCCTTGGCGGCACTGTTACTGGTGTTTGACCTACGCACGCAGCGCTGTTACTAATATTTGACCCCAGTTTCGCCATTCACGGTTTCGTTACTAGTCGTTGACTGTCGTTGTCCTTCGCGCACTCACACTACGCTCTCTCCGTCGCCTTCCTTGTGACACAGCTCGTCGACTGTCGGCTGCCCATGACTCAGCTCCTCCACGAACGTGGCGCCATCTGCCCCCGCATTACTGATCTTCAGCCGCGTCGTCACGAACTTGACGCCGATCTGTTTGACCTTGACCCTGACCGGTGACCCAGCCAGGTGGCTGTAGACGCCCTGCATGGACTTTATCGGCGGCAGCAGCGACCGCGACGTAGGAAGACTGTGTCGTTTGTGCTTGTCGGCGGCGGCAGGGGGCGTGCCGGCGCCGGTCCGCAACGTGGAGCAGCTGGGAGAACTCTTCAGCGACGTAGTGCTCGTCCTTAGTTCGCCGTTGGGCAGTGTGGGGGCGCCGGCGTCGGAAAATCGGACGGCGTGCGCGCGGGGGGAGAGTCGCGAGGAGGAGGAGGAGATGATGGAGGCGGTCGACATCTCGACGCCCTGGGGTCGGAAGGGTTCCTGCCGCCGCTCCCTGATGCTGAGGTCCTCGCCGATCACCCAGTACGTCTTCATCTCGCCTTTACCCTGGAAAACACAAGGCCGCGTGTAAGTACGAGCCTCTACGCTACGAACACAGTGCCACCTGACGTACGAGCCTTTGACCAGAAAACACACAGCCAAGTAGATTACGAGCCTTTACCCGGAAAACACACAGCCACAACTACTAGCCGTTAACCTATAAACACAGAGACACGTTAACAACGAGCCTTTACCCTATAAACAGACACACGTGAAGTACCAGCATTTACCCTGAAACTACATAGGTACGCGAAGGTACTGAAAATACACGCAGGTAGCTGCATCCCCCTGCAATCACAACTTCTATGCTGTTCTCAACAAAATATTATAAGCTGCCTGCTGATAGGTGCCTTCATGTCTTACTAGAGAGTGCAGATAGGCATCAATAAAACTCTTCTCTATCCGAGGTAATACGACTCGTTGTTGCACGTATAACGCGAGAAGGTGCGCGCAAACGCTAAACCCTAGTTCTTACCTTTATGTTGAGCACACCTCTCAGCTGTGTCAGGTAGCCTCCCAGTTCCAATAGCAGCTCGGCGCACTGCGGGCTGCAGTGTATCTTCATTGCTATAGACAAGTGTAACCTAGGACTAGCTACGATGGTACGGACGGGAACGCCAAATGGTTACGTCACTGTCTCTGGCCACCGGTCAAGTATGGGACGGGACTGATACCTACATAGTACGACTGACCTAGCGGAGGGAGGACAAAAGTGCTTAAACAATAAACAAAGGGACACTAGGGGTACGCCTATCGACCTAAGCCACTGAGGTCACACGCGGACGACGGAGAGATAAATAAAGCGAAGGGAACAGAGTAAAGATATAGAGAGTGTGCTGGACCAGCCGTGCCGACGCTACCCAAGAACCCGCCGCCAAGATGATCGATACGTAAATATGGTTACTTATTTGTTTGATAGTTAGATATTGTGATTACGTATAAGAGAGCGTACGGCGGCTCAGTAATGCGGTGAAGGGATACGTACAGATTGTTACGCATTTGTTTGATAGTTAGATTATTGTGATTACGTATAAGAGGGCGTACGGCGGTTCAGTAATGCGGTGAAGGGATACGTACATACGGTTACTTATTGGTTTGATAGTTAGATTATTGTGATTACGGGTAACGGAGCGTACGGAGGTTCAGCAATGCGGTGAAGGGATACGCACATATGTGCCTTTAGTTGTTTGATAGTTAGATCATTGTGATTGCTCCGCAGTAGTTTATGTAAAGGACGATTGTATAGCCAACGGGGTGTTAAGATTGTATCGTGCGGTGCCAGGAGTAGCAGGTTGAATAAATACTATGTGTGTGTGTACAATATAAATTACTGTGTTGCGTTGTGTATCACTGACTGGTTTTTACATCCTCGAGCGGGTTTATTCCTTCGCAAGGTACTAGAACATAAATGCGATCACGCCGTCGCGCGGGGCTTAATTAAAGGAGCACGCGGTGACACAAGCACAGACATAGCCAGAGATCAGAACAGTCCTACATCACAGGCACACGCGCACATACGTATGTATGCACACACGTACGCCGAGGGAGAAATTAGAACAGTCAAAATCGCGCGTGGCGCTAGTACACGTACACCACGTACACGCACACGCACACGCGCACGCGCACGCGCACACGCACACGCACACGCACACGCACACACACACACAGGCACACACACACACACACACACACACACACACACACACACACACACACACACACACACACACACACACACGACACACACACACACACACAGAGAGACACACACACACTA